AAAAAAAAAAAAAAAGCTATTTCTTCTTTTTTTCCTGTTCCAAGCATACATAAGAGAAATGGCAGTTCAAGTTGTTCATACCTTCACTCGAGCTGCAGTGCTTTCCATTCCACGGCTCTGAGTCTCTTTCCGCTTATCCGCGACCTCCTGTTGTTTCTGGAGAGCATCCTTGAGACGCTTATTGGCAGCTGCTGCCTAAATAAAATTGGCAGATAGTAATATTGAATGAAAGGTAAAACAAATAAACAAAAAACCCAATTTGTAGAACATTAGTAAAGAAAAATAAAAATTCTATGGATTTGAGTTCCTATAGGAACCAGGTTTATAAATCTCCATGGACATAACACTGGTAAATAGCTACTGCTTTGGAGCCTAGGGGAGGAATACACCTCAAGGAAGTTCTGCAGACTAAAAATATCTAGAAATGTCACATATCAATATCTCTTTGTTTTTTCAGCAAAGTCTCAAATCCAGTTAGGAAAAATTTGAATAGTACCATTTTTCATCAGGTTTTTATCTGCTCACAGGTCATGGCATATAAACAGGGATCAAGATTTAGGAATTGCAGGTGAAGGGGAGGAAGGCAGCAAATCACACTGCCACGTGTGTACCTATGCAACAATCTTGCATGTTCTTCACATGTACCCCAAAACCGAAAATGCAATTAAAAAAAAAAAAAGATTTAGGAATTGCTTGTGAAGATCGGCATCCGTGGTTTCTCAGAACACCTGCTCATTTAAAGGATACTATTTTGCGGCCGGGCGTGGTGGCTCATGCCTGTAATCCCAGCACTTTGGGATGCTGAGGCAGGTGTATCACCTGAGGTCAGGAGTTCAAGACCAGCCTGACCAACATAGAGAAACCCTGTCTCTCTAAAAATACAAAATTAGCCGGGCATGGTGGTGCACGCCTGTAATTTCAGCTACTTGGAAGGCTGAGGCAGGAGAATTGCTTGAACCTGGGAGGCAGAGGTTGCGGTGACCCAAGATCTGCACCATTGCACTCCAGCCTGGGCAACAAGAGCAAAACCCCGTCTCAAAAAACAAAAGAAAAAGATATTACTATGTAAGCATTTAAGCCTGACGATGACAATACACTTAACATAGCAGACTGAATTTTCTTACCTCCTCTGTTTTACGTCTGAGCACATTGGATTGTTTCTGGAAGTTTCTTTCAAGTTTCAGCAGCTCATATTGCCTCTTACGGTCCTGACAAGAAAAAAGTCAGATATTAATTACTGTTCAGCTAGCTAAAACAAAACCTTATACTATAACTAAGGTGTCTCTCAAAATATCCTTGATTTGTAAGGTTAACTACAATACAGCGAGCTGCCTTCATCTTCACCTATGAGTCAAAAACTCGTAGTTCTAGAAAACATGTTTGTGTGTAGAGGGGAAGTGGTTTTTCCCTTTGGCTTATTGCTCTGTGGCCAAATTCTTGATGTCTCAGTCATAAGTCAACTACTAGAAATAATATTATAGAATGTGAGGGCTGGAAGGAAGCTTAAAGATCATCTAATGAACAGTCCTTTCCACACAGGTAGTTATTGACAGAGGTGGGATTCAGGTCTCCTGATAAATAGACCAGTATTCTTTTCCCATCAACCCTACTAGTCCATCCATTATAGAACCCAGGTTGGTGGCAAAAAAGAGAAAGCCTATCACATAGCCAACCACCAATAAAATTAAGGTAGTAAACTGCAGCTAAAGAAGAGGTTTTTCACTTCTGAACAAAACGAGTTTAACCTGGGTGCACACAGACATAAAGATGGGAACAATAGACACTGGGAGCTCTAAAAGAAGGGGAGGGATGGAGAAAGTGGGGTAAGAGCTGCAAAACTTCCTATTGGGTACTATGTTCACTATCTGGGTGATGGGATCAGTAGAAGCCCAAAGCTCAGCATTACGCAGTATACCCTTGTAACAAACCTGCTCATGTACCCCTGAATCTAAAATAAAAATAAAAACAGGTTATTACTGAATGTACTTTTTCTTCCCAGAGATTGAAGATAAAGAATAACAAGAAATATTATGGGATATCACCTGCTTCAGCTGAGCACACAACATTCAACTGCTTTGATTTCTTGGCCCTTTCCCTATTCTAATACATCCATTAAGCTCCTTCTGGTCTCACTTGTTCCTATCCAATTTGGATGGAATGGTCAAGCCATTTTTGTCATGTCTTTGCCAGCATACTAGAACAATTCATTTCACTCAACAGTATAATATTTACTGGAACATCAACTAGACACTAGGCACTGTGCTAGGTGTCTAGGATACAGAGATAAACATGACAGGGTTACTACTCTTACAGAGATTACCAGGGAATACAAACAACATGCAACACAATTTTAATAAAATATGATGTGTATTGAAATGAGAAGTCAAGATAATTAAAGAAACACAGCCAGGGGACTAAGCTAGTCCAGTGAAAAGAGAAAACCCAGCTGTCTTCTTAGCACCAGACTTCTTGAAAGAGAAGTCTATGTTTAGTACTTCCACTTGTCATTACTGGTCACTTCAGAATCCCTTTGTAAGTAATTTCTACCAATTGTCCTGGAATTTCCTACTTATTAAATTTAATGGTCTTTTTATAGTCACTATCTTCTTTGGCTTCTCTCTCAGCATCGTTAGCACTACCAATAACTTTCCCATACCACCTTAATTCTTTTTTTAGCCTACAAGTTTCATTGTCTTCTTTCATTTTCTTACACATGAAATAAAGAGATTCTCAGCTGGGCGCAGTGGCTCATGCCTGTAATCCCAGCACTTTGGGAGACTGAGGTGGGTGGATCACCTGAGGTCAGGAGTTCAAGACCAGCCTGGCCAACATGGCGAAACCCTGCCTCTACTAAAAATACAAAGAAAATTCCCCAGGCATGATGGCATGTGCCTGTGGTCCCAGCTACTCAGGAAGCTGAGACAGGAGAATCACTTGAACCCAGTAGGCTGAGGTTGCAGTGAGCCGAGATGGCGCCACTGTACTCCAGCCTAGATGACAGAGTGAGACAAAAAAAGAGAGATTCTCTTCTTAGCCTTCTTTTTCTATATATTCTGTCTCCATTATCTCACTACTCCCAAAGTTTCATTTTTCACCTGTATGCACACAACTCCTTAATTGCAAAGTCCAGCCCAGCTTCTCCCTTGAACATTATCTAACATTTTCTAGGTCTCTCCATCCCAAAGGTTATTGTCCTAAAACCAACTTTGTCTCTTCAAACTAGCTGTTTCCTCTGACTTTCCAGTCACTGAAAAGCCAGAAATACTTTTTGATGCCCTAATTCCTTCATTTTTTGAAAGGTAGATTTTGTATTAATTATGATTAAAATCATTCACTAAACATGATTTAGTACCCACTACTTGCCAGTCACTGTTTTGGCCACTGGAAATACAGAAGTGAGCAAAACAAAGATCCTTGTCAACGTGGAATATATATTCCTGTAGAATGTAAAGTTATCATCACTTTACAGAGGTGTCTCCTTTCTTCTTTTGTTTTTCGTAACAGTTTCATTGAGATATAATCAACATACCGTACAATTCACTCATTTAAAGTACATGATTCAGTGGCTTTTGGCACATTCACACAGTTAATGTAAACATCACCACACTTAATTTTAGAACATTTTCATTACCACAAAAAGAAATAGCATACTGTTTAGCCATCACTCTATAACCCTATCACCCCACCCCAAAGCCCCAGACAACCACTAATCTATTTTTGTCTCTACAGATTTTAATGTCCCACTCTGGATATTTCATATAAATGTAATCCTATCACATATGGTCTTTTGTGACTGGCTTCTTTCACTAAGCAAAATGTTTTCAAGCCTCATCCATGTTGTAGTCAGTACTTCATTCCTTTGTATGGCTGAATAATACTCCATTGTATGGATAGGCCACATTTTATGTACCCATTCATCAGTTGATGGACTTTTCCACTTTTTGGCTATTATGAGTACTGTTGCATGAACATCTGGGTACAAGTTTTTGCATATACGACATGTTTTCATATCTCCTGGGTAGACAAAACTAAGAGTGGAATTGCTGGATCATATGGTACTTCTAGGTTTTTTATTTAGCCTCTGGATAAACTGCTAAACTGTTTGCCAAAGCAGCTATATCATTTTCCCATCCTACTAATAATGTCTGAGGCTTTCAATGTCTCTACATTCTTGCTAAGATTTATTATCATTTATCTTTTTGTTTATAGCCATCCTAGTAGATGTGAAATTACAACTCATTGTGGTTTTGATTTGCATTTATCTGATGGCAATATACACTGAGCATCTTTTCATGTACTTATTGCTTTGCCCATTTTAAAACTGGGTTATATTTTTATTATTGATTGGTAAGAGTTCTTTATCTATCTTGGATATAAGACTCTTGTCAGCTATATAATTTGTAAATATTTTCCTTCCAATCTATGGACTGGCTGTTAACTTTCTTTATTTGGTTAAGGATGGGGTCTTGCTCTATTGCCCAGAGTGGGGTCAAACTCCTGGGCTCAAGCAATCCTCCCACCTTGGCCTCCCAAAGCGTTGAGATTTCAGGTGTGAGCCACCATGCCCAGTCATATTCACTTTCTTGATAGTATTGTTTACAATGCAAAAGCTTTTAATTTTGTCTAATTTAACTCTTTTTTTTGGTTAGCTGTTTGTGCTTTAGGTATTATATCTAAGAAATCATTGTCTAATCCAAAGTCACAAAGTTAACACCCATGTTTTCTTGTAAGAGATTAATGGTTTTAGCTCTTACATTTAGGTTTTTTATCTGTTTTAATTTTTGTATATGGTATGAGAGAAAGTTTTTTTTCTTTTTTTTTTTAATCTTTTTGAGATAAAGTCTCACTCTGTTGCCCAGGCTGGAGTGCAATGGTGTGACTCGGCTCACTACAACCTCCACCTCCCAGGCTCAAGTGACTCTTCTGCCTCAGCCTTCCGAGTAGCTGGGATTATAGGCACGTGCACCATGCCCATCTAATTTTTTTGTAATTTTAGTAGAGACAGGGTTTCACCATATTGGCTAGGCTGGTCTCAAACTCCTGATCTCAAGTGATCCACCTGCCTCGGCATCCCAAAGTGCTGGGACTACAGGCATGAGCCACTGCGCCCGGCCACAAGTTTCAACTTCATTATTTTGCATGTGACCATCCAGTTGTTCTAGGACCATTTGTTGAAAAGACAATTGTTTTCCTCATTTAATTGTCTTGGCATTACTGTTGAAAATCAACTGACATAAGTGTATAAGTTTATTTCTGGATTCTCAATCTTATTTCATTGACCTATATGTCTATCTTTACACAGCACCACATAGTCTTGATTACTGTAGCTTTGTAGAAAGTTTTAAAATCAGGAAATGTGACATTTACAAATTTGTTCTCCTTGATTGTTTTGAATATTCTGGGTCCTCTGCATTTCCATATGTATTTTAGAATCAGCTTGTTTTCTGTTTCCATCAAACCAGATGGAATTTGATGGAAATTGTGTTGAATCTGTAAGGCAATCTGAAGGGTATTCCATCTTTAGAATATCAAGTCTTCCTGCCCATGAACATGGGATATCCTTCCATTTATTTAAGTCTTCCTTAATTAAATTCAATGATATTTAGTAGTTTTCAAGGATATAAGTCTTACACTTCTTTTGCTAAATTTATTCCTATTTTATTTGTATTGATGCTATTATAAATGGAATTGTTTTCTTTTCTTTTTTTCTTAGATGGAGTCTCCAGGGTTGGAGTGCAGTGGAGTGCGATCTCGGCTCACTACAACCTCCAACTCCTGGGTTCAAATGATTCTCCTGCCTTAGCCTTCCGAGTAGCTGGGATTACAGGCGCCTGCCACCATGCCTGGCTAATATTTTCTATTTTTAGTAGAGACGGGGTTTCACTACATTGGCCAGGCTGGTCTCGAACTCCTGACTTTGTGATCCGCCTGCCTTGGCCTCCCAAAGTGCTGGGATCACACGTGTGAGCTGCCATGCCTGGCCCTGGAATTGTTTTCTTAATCTCATTTTCAAATTGTTAATTGCTACTATATAAATATACTACTGATTTTCTTTTCTTTTCCTTTTTTTGTTTTTGTTTTTGAGACAAGAGTCTTGCTCTGTAGCCCAGGCTGAAGTGCAGTGGCCTGATCTCAGCTCACTGCAACCACTGCCTCCTGGGTTCAAGTGATTCTTGTGCCTTAGCTTCTCAAGTAGCTGAGACTACAGGTGTGTGCTACCATGCCTAGCAAATGTTTGTATTTTTAGTAGAGACGGGGTTTCACCCTGTTGGCCAGGCTGGCCTCAAACTCCTGGCTTCAAGTGATCTGCCTGCCTCGGCCTCCCAAAGTGCTAGGATTACAGGCGTGAGCCACCACATCTGGCCACAACTGATTTTCTTATATTGATCTTATATTCTGCAAACTTGCTGAACTCATATTAATTCTAATAGACTTTTAGTGGATTCTCTAGGATTTTCCACATATAAGATCATGTCATCTATAAACAGATATCTTGCTTCATCCTTTCCAGTTTAGGTGCCATTTATATATTTTTCTTCCCTAAATGTCCTGGTTAGAACCTCCAGGACAATGCTGAATACCTATGGCAAGAGTGGACATCCTTGTCTTGTTCCTGATCTTAGGGGAAAAGTATGCTCTTTTCACCATTAAATATGATGTTAGCTGTGGGTTTTTCATGTATGCCCTTCATCACGCTGTGGAAGTTCTCTTCTATTCCTAGTTTCTTGAGTGTTTTTATCATGAA